TTTCAGGGACCGTCACTCAAAAGTGAAAACAGTTTTGAAACAAGAGAAAAGAAAGAAAGAAAATTGTTAGTACTTACTCTAGCTGTTCAACTCCAGAGCCTTTTATCTGCTTTCCTATAATCAGGGTTTCTAGTCCTGAGTTTGGTTCAAATGTCTGTCCCTTTATAACTCTCAACAGAATCCAAGTTCCAGATCACTGCCCTTTGCCAGGAAGGGGGGATGTGACTAAATATATTAACCTGTAGGCCTGGGTTGATAAGATATTTTCTCACCAAGAAATACTCTATGGCTGACGTGTTGTTTAGTAGTAGAGCACTTAACATGTAGAAGGCCCTGAGTTCAATCCCCAGTGCTGTCAAGAAGGAAGGAGGGAGGGAGGAAAAAGGAAAAAAAATACCTTTAATTAGTATGCAAACCAGCAGTTTTTCCAACATTCTTTCGCATTACACCCCAACATGGACCCTGTGCCTCAGCTAGGCATTCTGCCTTCTGTATGTGCCATGCACGGATTGACCCCAATGTCTGTGCTTGTGTCCTCTTGAGACGTCCATTCTCTCACTACCTAATAGATCAATTATCCATCCTAAAGCCCAGACCAAGGTCGTCTTCCTTCAGGAAGCTTCCCTGAGTCTTTCCTACCTCCCAGGAGATCCAGTACCATACAACACACAGACGTCAGCCACAGGGGATTTCTGATTGTGCTAACCTGAAGATCCTTCTTCTTGCCATTCCATTCTGAAACCCAAGAGCCTTGCTCTTTTCTCCTGATGCCAAACATCAAACTCAAGCCATTAGGGCTCCAGAAGTGAAAGGAAATTCTTAACATCCAGGGTCTTTCATATTCATGTTTTTCAAATTCTTAGAGGGTAACAATTGCTTGATCCCCAACAGGTCAGGGGCCTAGGGGACAAGAACATATATTTCTAGCAAGATCTCAGGTGCTGAAGATGTGGCTAGCCCATATTTTGAGTAGCAAGGCTCTGCATTCATTTCCAAACCACAGTGGCAACTCATTAATGGTCTGGTAGTGAATTTAGTAGTTTATATAAATACTTGCTCAAAATAAACATAAAAACATTGAAGTAAAAAACACATAGAAGGATTTTTTTCTTGTAATTGAGCATGCTTTATTTTGTTTTGGGGGGGAGTTTTTCATGGTGTATCCCTGGCTGTCCTGGAACTCACTCAGTAGGCCATGCTATTCTTGAAATCACTGAGATTCACCCGCCTCACACCACATGGCTTGGGTGTACTTTTAACATATACATAAGTGTGTGTGAGAATGCAATGATACACGCCGTGTGTTATTTCAAAAGTTTTATAGTCTGTTCTTCAAATGACAGAGCATAGATGAGACATAAACTTAGACCAACAAATTAAAGTAATTCCAAAAGAAAAAGCACCTTGGTGTTTGCAGCACATTGGAGCAGGATTCTAGAAGATTCTAGCATGGAAAGGTGCTGGGATGAAGGTGGGAGGGGCAGAACTGGAGACAAAGTCTCTGGATGCAGCCTGCCTGTGCTCTCTGTGGTTGAGTTTATTTCCTGCACCCCACTGAGAAGCAGCTATGAAAACTATTTACTGTGTGGGTGTTTCCTAATTTGCTACTGTATCATGGAAGAGATAATACCACTGTTTCCTTCAAGGTCAACTGCTGGCTTTGATATTCTTCTAAACCCAGTGCAAATTCTCTGTTCCAGTCTGATTCATAAATGCTCTGTTATTGCCACTGACCTTGAGACCCACTGCAGAAATGTATAAGCCACAGGGATAAAAGGTGGCTATAACACATTGCTTCTAAAACACTGCTACCAATAGCAGTTTCTTGAGCTTCTTGTTTCTTTAGAGAAAGACCAAAAAACTTGAAGTAGGACAATAAGCCTTATGGTAAGCTGCATAGCCATATGCTACCAGCAGCTAGAAGAATGTCTGGCATATTTGTGACATATATCTTAGTTAAAGCCTGTGGATTCTTCTCTTTTGAAAAAGTTAAGAAACTGGGGGAAAATTTTGCCCTAGAAGATAGCATCTCAGCATGTGAAAATAAGGTTTTCTCCCTGGATGCTGTGACTCGTCATCTTGATGTGTGACAACCTGAAGTTTCTGCTGGCCGGGGACCACGAAGCTAAAGCAGTTGGAGCAACCACAGCTGCTGAAGAAGAGATTCCAGCGAGAGCATGGCTTCTTCTCACAGCACTGCTTGCTCCGTTCCCGTGTTCCTGGGTCCAAGACGGATGCTCCCTAGCAGTTTTCTCTTCGAGCTGCCCGCTGGTCAGCTGGTTTCTTACTGCACTTCATGCTAAAAGCACCAGTCTTGCAAAGGAACAGAGAAAAATGACAATGGGGACATTTGCCCACAGCGGGCTCTGTGGGAGATCCCTTCACACAACTCTGTGTGAGATCCCTCATGCAATTCTGAAGAGACTAGAGCAAGCTCAGGCCACCTTGTGTGTGCCCCACAGCAAGACCGGCAAAACATGGGGCTGCTCCGTTTGGCACATCAGAACTTTGCTCTTAGATAGAATTCAAGATGCAAAACTAAAAAGGTATTCAGAGGAGATGAGGGCTCTGGGTGATAAAGGAAACAAAAGCCTGTGATAAAAGGAGACGTTGAAGATGACAGAGATGCAGAGAAGGGGACACATTCCAGGTGCTTCCATCTGTGAGAGGACTCTGCTGAAGAAGGGGGCATTAGCGAACGCAGGTTTAGGAAACCGGAGACTGAGGAGACGTATGCAGAAACTTCCTTCCACAATCTCAAGCTTATTCTTAGTGCTCAGGCTGACACATGGTGCCACAGCCACATCACAATGGATGCCTGTGCTGTTGACCAAAAGCTGTTCCTTCAGATGCCGTCTTAACACCATTGATCTCATCATGCTGGCATTATCTGCAGGACCCGCCATCTCTCCCTCACCGCCACCAGCACCTTGGCACTGGAGGTCCCTGTAGTTGCCAACCACCTCTAGCTTTCTATTACCTGCAGTAAATGGAAATGATACAAATTAGAATAAGAAAATTAAACCACAATGGAGACTTTGCTAGGGACAGCTGAGTGAATCTCACCGCTTTGTGACAGTGCTGACCTACTGAGTCCTGCCGTATTTCACTGGTGTGACCGTGAGCATGTCTCCCCTATGATGTCCAGCTATTGTTTCTCTGTCTTTGGATATAACGGAGCTGAGGTCCAGACTGGCGAAACAGATTGCCTAAGGTCTTGCTTCAAGCGGAGGGTATCACCTGGCTTGGGACCCAGGCAACGTGACTATCCCAGTTGCCACAGTGCCCTGTCTCTTAAAGACCAAGTGAAGGACTTGCCACTAGGAGAAAGGTCCAAGGTGCAGAGCCGCGGCCTAGAATGCTCTCATCCGTATAGAATTAGGGAGTGGCGACTGAGGGCCAGAATTGAATGCTAGCTAAATTCACGGGCTATCTCTGAGGAGACACCATTGTGTGGTAAACTGTCTCCTGGAGAAAGAAACGGGGAAACTAAGGCTCAAGGATAAGACAAGGGCTTTTTTTCCTTCTCTCTTTTAACCACATATATGTATTACCTTTTCTAAACCCACAAAGATCAATTAAAAACACAGGCGCATGAAAAGATAAATTTGAATCTCCTTGGGACTTTCCCGGCTCCTCGGATATTCGTCAACTTGAAACAGTGTTTGTTTGACTTGACAGACCAATGCTCACTATAAAACACCAGGCTTCTTTGGGCCCAGCTTCATGTTTCCCAGGACCGTGGACTGCAGGGTCGTCCTGCGCTTGGGAAAGTGTGATGGGGCAGAAGGAAGAGAACGTGGTCGATGCTCTGACAGATGCTTTATTTGTACTTTGTTTTCTTTTCCTGTGTGTGTGTGTGTGTGTGTGTGTGTGTGTGTGTGTGCAAGCCTGCTTGCGTGTGTGGACACGTGTTTATGTTGGGGAGGAGTGCACGCAGCGGCGGAGGCTTAGCGGATATTGGGAATCTTCCACCTAACCCACTGAAAAGCGTCTCTCAATCAAACCCAGAGCTTGTGGCTATGGCTGGTCTTGTGAGCAAACTTGCTGTGGAGATCCCCTTTCCATCTTCCCAGGCTATAATAACAGGCAAACTCTGGGCCTCACACTTGTGGGACGAATACTTAACCACCGAACTGTCTCCCAGGCCTCTGGTATGGCTACTTTAGCTTTAAACAACAGTATTAGTTTGCTGGGCTCCCTTACGAACTGGGTGCTTTGCCAGAGAATAATCCTCTACTTCACAGCTTTGTGGGCTAGACATTCAAAACCGAGGCATCTCTGGGGTTGGCTCCTTGGGAAGGCTGTGAGGAAGAATGAGTTTGAGGTCTCTGGCTCTCTGCTGCCATCCTTGTCACACGGCATTCTCCTGTATGGAAATCTCTCCAGTTTTCCCTTTTTACAGGAGGATTCCAACCACACTGGGTTGAGCCCACCTGCTCGCCTCATTTTCGCTTCTCTCCATATAGGGTCACATGCTTAAGAACTGGAGGTTAGGATGATGTGGGACATAATCAGCCTATATCACACTTGAGAACTGGAGGTTAGGATGATGTGGGATCGTCAGGACATAATCAGCCTATATCACACTTAAGGACTGGAGGTTAGGATGATGTGGGGACCGTCAGGACATAATCAGCCTATATCACACTTAAGGACTGGAGGTTAGGATGATGTGGGACATAATCAGCCTATATCACACTTGAGAACTGGAGGTTAGGATGATGTGGGACATAATCAGCCTATATCACACTTAAGAATTGGAGGTTAGGATGATGTGGGATCGTCAGGACATAATCAGCCTATATCACACTGCTACGAGTAGTCCCTTCCATCCCTCACACTCATCCAGGGGCTACCTTGTCCTCTGCTGGGACTGAGGGCTTGGCCTCTGGCATCCTTAAGATGGAAACTATTGCTAGTTAATCTTGGAGAGAAGACTCCAGTGAAGGGTCACTCATGGCTCATCCTGAAGGAAAGCACTGTTCTGTTCTTTGTAGATGGTATCACGGCAACCTCACAAGGCATGCGGCTGAGGCGCTTCTTCTCTCCAATGGACGTGATGGTAGTTACCTGCTAAGGGACAGCAATGAGCAGACTGGACTCTATTCTCTCTCTGTGAGGTAGGTGCTTAAGGACTTGGTAGATTTCATCCCATCTGTCACTAGTTCGGTTTACAGCACTCACACTATAAACAACAGAAACTCCCTGATTCCTATTGAGTCACCAGATATAAGGATTTCAAACTCTGAATGGTCAGACAGTAAAGAAATCTTCCCAGGGCTGGAGAGATGACTCAATGGTTGAGAGCATTGGGCTCTCAGAAATGATCTAAGTTAGGCTCCTAGCATCCGTGTAAGGCAGTTCACAACAGTCCATAACTCAAGCTTCAATGAGATCTCATAGATCTACATGAGCACTTAACACTTACAGGAACACACACACACACACACACACACACACACACACACACACACACACACGCCTTCCTTGTTCCATTCACTAGCAGGAAAAATATGTCAAAAGCAAAAGAGACTCTGGGAATTATTTAATCTTAACCTATCACTGGACACATGAAGACCCTGAAACCCAAAGTGGTGGACTGTTTGACTTGGCTCAGTCAACACTGGAAACAACACTATCATCTGAGTTCCTGGACTGGGCTCCTTTTTGCTTTTCCTTTCTTGCCTGGGAAAGCCAGAATGATTGTAACCACAAGTTTTCATAGTCACAGACTCAAGAAGATAATGTACAACTTTAATTTTTTTCTATGGACTCCACTTTTCCAAGTGGTGAGTTCATCTAGCTCCTCCAAGTTGCACCTGGCTTGTAGCCTTCAGCCCCTCCCTGGTACCTGGAAAGCCGCAAATTTTCTTGTGTTCTTGTAGCTTTGGCTGGACATGCATGCAAAGGTTCTACAAGTTTTCCTGGGCCACTAATAATGGCCATTGTATGACTGTGGTAGCATCTCCACAAATCCAGGAGCCCTTGAAGGAAATCACAAGTTCCCTTTTCAGTGCAATCCCTCAAGCCAGAATGGTCCTCCCTTCTCCCCTTCCTGTGGGACCCTGGCTTCCTTGAGCTCTCTGGATGGTAGATGGCAGTAGCTGTATCCCGGATGCTGTTTATATATCCTTCCCATTCAGTGAAGCCATTGCAGTTTATTTGGTTTGGGGCTTTGTTTTTAATCCCCTTGTCTCTCTCTCCACCCCCTCCCTCTGATTGGGAACAAAACTAGATAAGAAAATAAGAAATTATTTCCTAGGTTTGGGAGGTAGCTTAGTTGGTAAAGTGCATTCATTGAAAGCATGAGAACCTGAGTTTGGGCCCCAAAACTGAAAAAGAAACGAAGGGAGGGAGGGAGGGAAGGAGAGAGGGAGGGACGGAGAGAAGGAGAGAGGGGGTTAGATATGGTAATATGTATTATCAGACCTATTGCTGTGGAAACAGACACTGCTTATTGGATAGCCAGCTTAGTATGCCTTGTGAGTTCTAGGTCTGAGGTAGCTGGTGTCTGAAACAATAACCAAGGCTGACTTCTGGTCTCCACATGCACATACACAGACATGCACATGAATTTGCACATACAAGTATGCCTGTAGGCATGCGAACATTTATGCATGTGCACATAGAAATAAACACACAAAAAAGTATTTCCCCTAACAACTGCTGACAGGCTTCTGTGAGTTCAATAGCAAAGAATTAGCATTGCTTATCCTCTCTTTAAACTTGGAACCTTCAATATTCATTTCTACGCTACGAAACAAATTACCAGAAAATGTAGTGGCTTAAAACAACACAAACTGATCACACCACTCTTCCCGCATGCATGAAACTCCAGGCCTAGCATGGGTGGATTCTCTATTCCAATTCTACCAGCCTGAAATACAGATGTCCGCCGCAGCTGGGGCTCCTGTCTGGGACTCAGTATTTCATCATCACTTCCTCCTTTCATGCCTTTCTTTCATTTCCTTGCTGTGGTAGCACTAGGGTCCTTATTCTCCCAGCTGCCATTCAAGGACCAGTGTCAACTGACGATGCCACTTGAGTTCATGCTATGTGGCCTGCATGAATGTATGCAGCATGGACGTTTGCTGCCCTCCTAGCGGGCAGAGCATATTGCTCTGATGTCCTCTTCTGTGGACAAAGAGATTCTCTTTCATGGAGCTCATGGGAAGAAATCAGGCACACACAGAGATTCTTCCTATTTTTTTTTTTTTTGGTTTTTCCGAGACAGGGTTTCTCTGTATTGTTTTGGAGGCTATTGGTCCAGCCTGGCCTCGAACTCACAGAGATCCGCCTGCCTCTGCCTCCTGAGTGCTGGGATTAAAGGCGTGCACCACCACCGCCCGGCGATTCTTCCTATTTTAAGATGAATCAATGCAACGATTTAATGATCCACAAAGTCTCTTCACAACTCCATCTAGACCTGGATGACTGGAGCAGGGAGATACACTCTATGGGACTAGGTTTGGGCGCCTGTGAACGCTGCCTGCCGCGCCTTTGACTCCCTAGCAGTGAGTCTACTCACCAATTTAAAGGGGAGAGGGAGAGACGGGTAGAAAATGAGGGACATTTTAGGCAGCCCAGTTGGAAGGGTATATCTACTAACATTTTGATGTTACCCTGGCAAGTTTTATTTGTAAATTTTCTAAATAACAGGACTAGAGTCTAGGGTAATAGCTAAGTCTGTGCAAGAAAGAATAATTGAGTTTGACTCCCAGCTCCCATATAAGAAATTGAGCATGTCAGTGTGTGCTTATATAGTCCAAGAACCAGGGAGGAGAACACAGAAGTGTCCTTAGGGCTAACTGGCCACAGCCAGCCTTGTTGAATCCATGAACTCCAGGTTCAGTAAAGACCTTGCCTCAAAAAATCCGGGTAGAGCTGGGTTGTAGTGGCACACGCCTTTAATCCCAGCTCTTGGGAGGCAGAGGCAGGTGGATCTCTGTGAGTTGGAAGCCAGCCTGGTCTACAGAGCGAGTTCCAGGACTGGCTCCATAGCTACTGAAGAAACCTTTCCTTGAAAAACAAAACGAACAAACAAAAAATGCATGAGAAATAACACTTGACGTTAACCCCTGACGTCCACAAACATGTGCCCACATGTGCTTATGCACACATGAGAACATATGTACACATACACAAGGAAAGCAAACAAATAGGAATATAAAAAACTACCAGTCCAATGTGGAATTCTGTTTTAGTGGGGAAAAGAGTCTTGCTTTCTCTTATTGACAGTGAAGTTGCACGTCTGAGAGGTAAACTGCATGTTAGGTGCCGTATTGCATCGTTCTCCCAAATATCCCAAATACACATGTAGAATTATTGGATCACAGATACAATTAATGCTTCATCTATGTGTGACTCATCTGATCATAAACTATTTATGAATAGATTGCATGCATTTCATCTTCCTGAAAAATTAAAATATAAACAATTGGTTTTCATTACAAATATTTGGTGACACTTAGGCGCGTGGGGGGATGCAGAGGTGACAGAATCCATAGGCCAGTTGTTTAAATGTATGATTATTTTTTATCAATTTATTTGTTCATTCCCTCAATAATAGATATTTGAAAGCATGCATTCTGTACCAGCCATCTTAATGCAAAGACCTTGTAGGCAAGAAGTATAGACTCAGCACCCATAAGTCCCGAATCTTGCTATGAAGTAGAGTGTAGCAGTAGCACAAAAGAAGGCAGGCTAAGTGTTTGGGTGACTGAGAAAAAAAATGACCCTCAGGGTAAGCCAGAATTACCACGTGATACAGCTGAGAAGGTGGAATTCACAGGAAAACTCAATGGGTCAGCAGAGACCAAGGGAAAGGTGACAGGGACATTGGAGGTAAGGAGCAGAGGTGGAAATAACTCCTAGAACAGCAGCGGATTGGACAGGGGTCCTGAAGCAGCCTCCCCTGACATCAGCATTCACGGACAGCCCCGTAGAATCTAAGTTCTGGTGGGGCGCCCGCCTTCACATGCTGAATCTTGGTCTGGGGATCTTCACAAACCTGACAGTTGACTCTAACGATTCCGAAGTCAGGGTGTGGATGACACGTGGGAGGTGGGGCTAGGAAGATAGAATGGGGACAAATAAAGTGGGGGGGGGGGAGAGAGTTTATGTAATGCTTTTCATATAAAAATGTCAGCCTTAGAAATGTGACATTTTATTCAGTAGACAATCTCACAGGTAAGGAGAATACTAGGGATATGCAATTGATAGACTTCTGACTGACTCCCAGACAAGCGAGGGCCAAGGACAAACACCTCATTTCTGTCACCTCTGCCTTCCTGAATTCATGCCCTTTATGGAAATTAACGTTCAAGGGCCTTTGCGGTCAGTCCAATTGAAGGTGGGGAGCAGTCTCTTCCCTTCTGGGGGAGTGAAAAGCTGAGTGTATTCTCTGCCAGAAGAAATGCATGACTCTCATGGATTTTGATGGCTTTGTGCTCCACAATCTCAGGCTGAAGTTGATGCTCACACATTGCTATTATATTTGCCTTCTAAAAGAATCATCATTTGTTAAATAACATTAAACACTTTTCTTTTCTTTCAGAGCCAAAGACTCTGTCAAACACTTTCACGTCGCATACACTGGGTACTCATTTAAATTCGGCTTCAATGAATATTCAACTTTAAAGGATTTTGTCAAGCATTTTGCAAATCAGCCTTTGATCGGAAGTGAGACAGGTAAGCCATCTTTGTTCAGTTGTTGTTGCTATAGACGACTACCTGGGATGTGTGATTTATTTAAGAAGGGTATTACAATTCATCTTTCTGCATGAGAATTTGCTTGCAATCTGGTGACTTCTGCTGGCGCTAAGCACTTGCATAGTGAGAGATGGGATTAATATATTAAAGACCAAGCCCTCACCAAAGCCCAAGCTTGCCTGGAACATGTGATCCTTCTGCCTCAGGTTCACAAGAGCTGGACTTAAAGACATGTACTGCCACACCAGGCTCAAGTCAGCATCTATAACAAACCTATTCTTGGTATAATCCATTAGTCCACTAATCCAGGAACAACATAATAGATTGATATTTCATGATTGGGAGTAAGTCCAAATCACCTCTAAAAGTTTGGTCTGGTCCTTCTGTTTAAATATCATAATGACAATTAAATCTAACATTAGGATTGAAGAAGACAAATTATATTCAAACCATAGTATAAACTGTACACTTGACCTCTAAAATACTGTTTCAGGAAGAAGAAGAATGATATAGATTTCAATGAATTTCATACTTGTTACTCTTGGGTCTTATGCCTATGGTGGGAAATTGCCACATTTAGAAAAAACTTTTGTATTGTTGTGCCACATGGAACATTAAAAAATATGTGCATGAAGGGGCTAGAGAGACAGCTCAGCAGTTAAGAGCACTTGCTGTTCTTGTGGAGGACCTGGGTGGGTTCCAAGAAGCCACATCAGACAGCTCACAAGTGGTAGAAGCTTCAGTTCCAGGGGATCCAACACTCTCTTCTACCCTCGTGGACATGGGCATGCATGTGACGCTCATACAGACAAACAAGGGTGCACATACATACACACACACACACACACACACACACACACACACAAACAAGTACTGTTTAAATGTAAAGATTGGATTTCAGCACCCTCTTTAGGTGAAAACAAGGTATATTCTGCATATATTCCACAAAGCACATTATCGTACTAATAAATTGATGGAATATTAACAGCTCACATAGGCAGGAAGATCTTCGTGAGTTTGAGGCCACTCTGAACCATGTAGTTAGTTCCAGGCCAGTCAGCACTATATAGTGAGACCTGATCGAGACACAGTATCTTTAGAATGTTTTATTTTATAATACATACAGTAAACGAAACACAAGCCAGGAAAGAGTTTTTTCCTCATCATTTTAGGCATGAGCACTGAGAGGGAACTGTGCCTGTGCCGTGAAACTGATATATTTAGAAACATTTTTTTCTTTGCATGTAGTGAGACCCCGAGAACTTAATCTGAAGCCTTTTCAAAGATAAATTTCACATGAAATGTCCACAGCGATCAAGTGCTCAATACTGAAAATGTTGCTTAGAGAGCATTTCCTATGAACAATAAAGGCCCACATCTGATTCCTTACAAAGTTTTAGGACTGCACTTCCGTATGACTTGGAAGGACTCAAAATTTCCCATTTCAGTAGTTAGACAAATTGGGATAAAAATATATAGAGAAAGCCATTTTGTCAGACATCATTCCATTGGTGTAACAAATATTTACACCAGAACTAAATGGACGTGTAAGTAGGAAAGTTTTATTTTGTCTGATGGCTTCAGAGGTTTTGGTCCGTTATTCTATTGTCATGATGGGAAGACACAGCAGGGAGAACCACTCCGCTCATGACCAGGAAACAAGTGGCTGCGTCCCATTTATTATCTCCTTCAAGGGCACACCACTTTCTCACACCGGTTCCACCTTCCCATAAGGCCAAGCAGAGGGCCACGCCCTTAAGACATGGCCTTTCAAGGACTTTCTCCGCACTCATGCACACAGTGTGCTGGCACGCGAATTATCTAATGTGTTTGTCTATAAGCTATAAAGCAAGTAAGTAGAAGGGGCCCCGCTCCTGAATTTATGGTTTAGAATTCCAGCTTTATTTACTCTAAATGATGAAAAATCTTCATTTGTCAACAGTGGGAAACTTAGTAACGCAGCCAGTCACCAAGAATTTGTCCCTATCAGTTTCTCAGTAAACTCCCCAGTGGTCTTTGTGCTCGACAGTGTTGGGGAGGGGGCGGGGGCGGGGGAGTGTTGCTATCACAGGTTTCTGCTTTTGCTTTAGTGTCTCTGGGACCGACCCTAGGATGAGTCAGTGTCTAGCACAGATGAAAGCCACACAACAGTTGCATCTCTTTGAACTGAAAATACCAGGTCTGTGGCAGAATATTCTGAACTTGAACCTTAAGCTTTAAATCTCTCTTTCCTGACGGGAACCCTTTGGGTCAGCCCCGAAGAGGACTTCCATCTTTAGCCAGCACTGTTCTCATCAACAAACGCACGTGGGAATTCTCATCCACTGCTGTCTTGACCTGAGCAAGCATTTCGATTTCTCTAATCCCTGCCCTGCAGATTTGTTTCCTGGTTATGTTTAACTCCACACTGGATTTTATTCAAGGCTTGGTCTCTTGAAATAGAGGAAAGTGTCTTAAAGCCCTTCTGTGCCCTTTTCAAACCACAAGGAAGTTATCCTGGAGTTTCCTCATCACTCAGAGCTAACATCAGGTGCTCTTCTGTTTCAGGTTTTGAGGGTGGGCCTTGCCATGAAGCCCAGGCAGACTTTGAGCTTGGGATTCCAGGCGGGCCCACCAGGAGCCAATGCATAAATGAACAAGAAGAAAAGGACTATTTTTAGAAGGTGGCGTCCTGTTTTCCATTCAGTATTCATTCCTCGTGGTGACAGCGGTGACTGTGACTTTTGCAGCACTTCTGGGCTTAGCAGTCATCGTGACTTCATTTTGACTACCTCTTTTGTTATCCCCCCATATTTGCTGTCAGTGTAGGTGTGTGAGTAAATGAGTCCATGAAGTAGTGGATGTTTATGAGGAATCCTGTAGCTGTCAAAACCGTTATCATTGTCTGCCCACCTTCTCTTCTCCGTTGCACATCCTGCCTGCGGGCAGATTTCAAGGCAGGCTAAGACAGAAGTGAGTGTGGTGTATTTTGAGTGACTCTTCCCACCGCAGTATGACCCTCACACCGCATTTGGAGCAATATACAACCTCCCTATAAACACGCCGTCCTGACTAAAGAAATCCCGTGGCCACGTGTAGTAACACTTGCAGTTCTAGCACTTGAGAGGCTAAGCCAAGAGGATTACAAGTTCAAGGTGAGCCTGGGCTACGAAGCAAGGTAGAGGGTAGCCTGGACTGAATAACAAGACACTGGCTATAAAGGGGGAGGGGTGATTAATGTGCCAGGATTAATAGAGTGATTCTCCAAAGTTAAAATTTTCTGTCCATTATTGCCATGCTCCCTAGTTTTACTTATTTTTGGAAACTAAGGTTGCTATCCTGTCCACTGGCTATCCTCTTTCCTATCCATTATCTGATAAACAATTTGCTGCCTTTGGGGCTTGATTCAGCTGATGGATGTGAACACTGAGTTAGAATACACTCATTCTCCTTGCTTATCTGTCCCCACCAGATGAAGGCAAAGCCACTAAGGCTTGTCCAAGGGACAAAACTCATGACATTCGAGTGTTCTAATCTGCCCACTGTGGGAGTAATAGGCTTCCGGAGAACAAGATAGCACCCTGAAGTCACGATGACTGCTAAGCCCAGAAGTGCTGCAAAAGTCACAGTCACTGTTGTCACCACGAGGAATACTGAATGGAAAACAGGACGCCACCTTCTAAAAATAGTCCTTTTCTTCTTGTTCATTTATGCCTTGGCTCCTGGTGGTGCCTGATGGTGACTAAATCCAGAATCTGCCTTTCTTTTGTCATGGATGATATTCAAAAAGCATAGTTCTTTTAAACAGCACTCAGTAGACTTGGGTATTTGAGAAACGGTCTTAGTATAGTTAATTTTTACTAAGTGTTCCTCTAATTAGCTAAGTTTCATGAGCACAGTCATGAAAATGTAGACAGTGTTTATATTTATATTGACGTATCCAAGTGTTAGAAAACAAAAAAAATGGCCTTTTCTCATATTTAAATAGCTTCCAGTGAAAACTGTCATGAAAATTTGTTTGCTTTTAATAGCTCAAGTCCCTTTAGTCACCTAATCCACACAGGAAAACACGCACAATGCTCCAAGTTGGGTCTCTGTTTGTGACTTCTCCAAATGGTGCAGTGTTGAGCATAGGGTTCTTTCCCAAATGTCAAATTTCCACTTCTGACTTTTGCTTTGATGTGGGGATGCCCGGGCTTTTGGTAAAAGTCACAGCTGTCATTATTCGCTTGCGGCAATAGTTGTCTTCCTCAGGTAAGAGTTTAAGAACTGTGTGTGCTGTTTCTAGAAGCAACTTGATGGACAACTTGGAATTGTGCCAAATCACAGCTAGCCATCACTTCCTCCATTCATGCTGGCCAGACATTAATGTTTTTCAGTTAGTGAGTGAGGTGTGTTTGCAATGAAGAAGGTTAGGGGGTGTGAACTCACAGGGAGGAGTACTTAGCAGGTTCCAGGTATTCGGCTCAGGGGTTTTCACACGTATCAAATTATTTAATCTTCCCAGCTGCCCACAAGAACACATGCAGTGACCTCATTTTCAAATGAGGAAATAAAGAAACAGAGGTTTTAAGTTACTAGAAGCTCAGAGCTGACACTGAAATCCAAGCTAAGCATCAGAAGGAACAGGTACTTTCCAGACTTGCTACATGGTGGAGACCTATTATTCTAAAGAAGGTGGATCGGTTTCAACTTCCACCTTCTCTGTTATGGCTATTTGGCCTGTATTTAGGTGAAATGCCATTTGAGAGAGGCTTTAGTATTTGTATCACATCTACTTTAATATTTACTTGTTTGTTTGTTTGTTTGTTTGTTTGTTTTTTCAATGCACACGTGGAAGTCAGGGGAGATCTTTCTGGGGTCCGTTCTCCCTCTCCATCAGCTGGGGCCCAGAATGAAACTCAGGTCATCAGGTTTATCATGGAGCACCTTTGCCCATTGAACCATCTCACTGGCCATCTCCTCCAAACTTGCATTAGAGAATAAAATCTTAGCATAGA